AAAGATCAAAACCCTATAAAATTGTTTAAGTGTTCTCATGGATTAAGGTTACTATCCTTTGCTTTTAGACTTGGAGTTAGGCCTTTGGACTTTGTTACATTTCCCTTAGCTTAGAGTTCATCTAATACATTGAATTTGTTGACTTTTTGAACCTCTAATGAAGACTTGGCCTTGTTATTTTGACTTTGACCTTTTGGCTTGAGTATTTTGTTCATCTGGATCCTTAAGTTTTTCATCTAATACTTGGCTTGCTTGTGGTTTAATCCAAAAAGGAAATGCTCTCTTTGACTAATGTCAATTGCTTGATTTGTCATGGTTAGTTCACTTACACACACAAAGGCTTTCTCTTGACTTTGTTCACTTATATGTTGAAATATGCTTGTGGGTTAAATACAAGCTGTAAATTCTCCATATTAAAGATGATGCAAATGCTCACTTTCCCATAGTTTTCAAGAGTATGTTATGTTTTCCACTCAGATAAGACAACACATCTCTTCATTTAAAATCAATTAACAAACCCTCGTAGCTTTGTAACCTGAACTACGAGATTCTGATTTCTTTATTGCACGTTGGAGGTACGTAGGAACATAACTCTTGAAGTTTTTCCAAATAAAAAATCATTAAGAATAAATTCTTTTCTCATCTCCCCAATCTTATTGTAAACAACCTATTTTTAAGCTAACATAGATTTTCAAGAGGTTCCTATAGAGTACCATACATGTGAGGGGTTCTAATACCTTCCCTTGCATAATCAACTCCCGTACCCTTATCTCTTTTTGCTTTTATTTTTTTCTTTGCTTGTTTATGGGTTTTCTCGATACTTTCCCTTTTCCTTTGGAAACAATAAAGTTCAATGGTGACTCTTTCTTTTGTCGAGTTAAGTTAATCAATAACTTAATCTCAATTTTTCCACTGTGAAACTTTCCCAACATTTCTCGGATAATATTCATTAAAAATAACATGAACGAACTCTTCAACAGTAAGTAATCTATTATTATAGACTTTATATGCTTTACTTGACTGAGAGTATCCAAGGGACATACCTTCGTCAGCTTTCGCATAAAGTTTTCCAAGGTTATCCTTAATGTTATTCAATACAAAGCACTTGCGTCTAAAAACATGAAGATGTGATCAATTTGTTTTTCTACCTTTAAGAAGTTCATAAGAGTTTGGTTTAAAATAGGACGTATGAGTATCCTATTTAAAACATAACATGCCATGCTTATCGCATCGATCTAAAAATATTTTGGTAGACCATCTTCATTGATCATAATTCTTGCCAACTGCTCTAAAACTCTACTTTTGCGCTTCACAATACCAATTTGTTGTGGATTTCTTGGAGCGTAAAAATTATGATTAGTTCCACTTTTATCACAATAATCCTCAAAGAAGTGGTTTTCAAATTCACGTTCATGCTCGCTTCGTATTACAACTATGTTTAAACTCATCTTATTTTGAGACAACTTTGCAAAACTAGTGAAAACTAGAAAAGTTTCATCTTTAATATGCAAAAGGATGGTCTAACAGAATCTAGAATAGTCGTCTACGATAATAAAATCATTATAGTTTCCACCCAAGCTTTTAGTCCTATAAGTTTCATACCCCAAATTTGCCCTACTAGCATTAGTGGTTAACTTATAGCTATTCGCCTATTCATTATTATTGGCGTTATCATTTTTATATTAATTTTTTCTAAGTTCTTAATAAGGGGGTGTATTGTCTCAAAAGGACAATCAAAATCTGATGGTCCATTAAGGTACTTTTGTGGCCCGTTATCATTTATTTTTGTCAAGAGGGGTGTGTAGCTTCAAGTGGACCATCAAAATATGATAGCCCGTTAAAATGTTTTTGACCCGGGGGGAGGGAGGGGGTGTTTGTTGAATTCATCTAGTCCAATAGGGCTTTGAGGCCCATTTATAATGACAGAGAGGGGGTGTGCGTTTGGAATGTGGAAAGCCCAATTTACTAAGGCATGTTAAATTTTTGTATACTTCTAAAGGTTAACTGAGGTCAACACATCCTTGGTCTTACTTTCTTACATTTTAATATTATAGATGATATTACTATTTATTGGTTTTTACTTTATTCTTAATATTCTGAAAAGTTGACTGGGGTCAACGTATTAACTTTTTCATAAAACTATTATTCTTATTATTAGAAAATACAAATTATACTATTATTATTTTATTATTATTAAGTCTATTATTATTTTGAGATGTTGACCGAGTCAACCCAAATGGTTGAAACCCTAATGCAAGCAGCGGCTACTATTCATCATACCCTTTGCCAAGAAACTTACAAGCCTAAGTCCTAAAAATCAAACATTCAGAAACCAAATCGTATCGAATCAAAAGGGGATCAAATATTACACGGAATCTAATTTTATTGTTATTGAATATACACACAAAATCAGTCCAAATACATCCAATTTACAAACCCTAATCTAACAGAATCTTCTAATTTATAAATCTAATTACAAACAGAATCAATTATAAAATATAAAATCCGTATACAATCTTCAATCAATCTCAAAAAGTAACGACAATCAACAATAAATTCCTAATTGAATCTAAATTCTAACCTATAAATAAAACTTAAAACTATCAGGTAAAAGGGAAGAAAAGGAAAGAGGAATTTGGAGAAAATAATCGTGATAGTGAGAAAACCAATCCGCGAGTTATCCACCTTCTTGAGATATATGTTTCAATTTCTGAAACCCTAGATATGTGCTTCAAGCTGCGCCTCCATCATCTCTGTTGTTGCCGCCAATCTTCGCACCTGCAACCAAAAAAGAGGAAGAAGATTAGACAGAAGGAGAAAGATCCAAAAGGACATTTACAAGAAGAATCACTGCAAGGAAGGTAAGCCCAAAACTTAGCTTTAAATTGAAAGATTATTATTATTGTTGAATTTCGGGTCGGTTGGCAGTCTGATCTGGATTTCTGGGAAATTTAGGGTTCATAATTTAGGTTTAGGGTTCATCACTTAGGGTTAGGGTTCATCCATATGGGGTTAGGGTTCTAAGGGTCCATGCTTCTGGGTTGGATAAGCGTTAGGGTTCTTGGGGTTTGGTTGAAGATTGGGGTTAGGATTCTTAGGGTTCTAGGTTTCTGGGTTTTGGCACAGTGGTTTGCTATGAAGGTTTGATGTTTTGGGTTGAACAACAACCAGAAAATTGGACAGAAAGGGTGCTTTGTGGTGACTCATGGTGGTAACCGCCGGTAGAAGCGATTTCTGGCCGGCGGGCGATTTTCGATCACCTAGAGAGAAGCGAGAGCTCCTCTCTCTAGAAATACAATTGATCTGTTGTTTTGGGGATATAGAGAGAAAGAAGAAGAAAAAATAAGGCCTAGCATTGGGCCTATGTTTTTATAAACCCTCATTGATCTGGTGCCTGCATTTCCACGATGTCATACCCCAAATTTGACCGCCCTTAGTGCTACTGTCAAATTTATTTTCGAACTTGGGTTTTAAAATTCCTTTTGTTTAATTATATTAATATTTTTGGGTTTTATAAATATTCGTTCTCAAGTCCAGTTAAAAATATAATAATTTATTTCAAATTATTTATATTTTTAAATAACAAATACTTGCTCGTCTTCATGTATTTTCAATTGGCTCTTTATCTTAAATAAGTAACATATAACAGTTGGTAAAAAATGAAGCTTGCAAATATGAGGTCGTGGGTTCGAATCTCTTATGGTGCATTTTTTAACATTTTTTCTATTTCTTTTTGTTACTAATTTTCTTTCCTTTTTTGGAAATCTAGCTTGCGCTTTTCATACATTTTGGATAACTTAGTCTCTAAGTTTTTTCTAACCTAATTCAAGTCTATAAATAGGACTCTTATTTGTCCTAAAAAATCATCCACAATTTTACAATCTCTCACAATTTCACTCATTCATACACACTTCATTTTTTTTGTGCAAATTTCTTCTTCTTTCAAAAAAAAAAAAATTAATACTGTTACAAAGATTTTTGTTTTGTCCAATGATTTCATATGAGGCCTCCCTCTAATTTTCAATTCTATTTTTTTAATTGGTTTGTTATTTTAACCATATGATGATGATCTAATGGTCTAGTTGTTTTCAAAAATTATTTCTTGACAAAACTGTAGGGGCAATTCCGAGGAGAGAGCATTTTTACTTGGGACACACCTTTGTGAGGGACACACCACTTGTCCATCTAAAACCTTAAGGTTATAGATGAGTGGGTTCTCTCACTTATAAGTGCTCAATCTTCCCTTTCATAATCAATGTGGGACTTCTTCCTCACACTTGATTCTTAACAAAAACTAGCAATTCTCTCAATTCACAATTGCACACAGACCACACACATTTAATACACACCATCCAAATTTGTACATAATTATGGAGAATTTATGTTTTTGGTTTTGGCTCACCTTACTTATAAACATCATAATAGATTCATGTAGATATATGAATTATCGCTACTATTTTTTTATTTATGTTAACATTTTCCTAACTTATATGTGATTACAACTCTTGATTTTTGTTATTAGTATTATCTTAGTAAATATACAGGATATCCCTAATTTAGTTCTTATAAAAAATTAACCAATTAGTTCTTGAAATCAATATGTGTTGCAAAACTTATATACAACATCATCACTTCCTCAATTCATATATCATTATTACTCTAATATTTGATATATTCTATCTACTATGAACTAAAAAATTGCAGAGTTTATGAATTTCATCTCTAATGAGCTTTGATTTCTACTTTATCCAATCACTACCAACAAAGAGAAAAAAACAAACGATATCACAAATCAAAGAAACAGGAAGAGAAAGCAACTCACCTGCTGGTCTTAATCAACAACTTGGAAAACAACATTATAATAAAACATCACAAGCTGAACAGATCCCTCCACCGATGCAGCCAGTCCACCTTTAATCAGCCTTCATCGATGCCACCACAAGATCCAACGAATCTGGAGTCTGACGGCAAGAACTGCACACGCAACTCAGCTGGTGCAAATGTCAACCAGAGCCCTCCATTTCGCACAAAACAACAACATCATTGAAGATCCACCATCGAAACTTCCACGATCCGACCGTCTCCCCTTCAAATCCAGAGACAACCGCAACCGCCTCTGTGCAATCATCATGATTTCGCTCAGATTCGCAAAGTCATTCTCCGTTAGCATCCTCTGGTTTGTTTTCCATTATGCTTTTTATTAATGTGGTTTGATTAAGACATGTTTGATTAAATGAGTTTGTGTATGAGATTTATGGGTGTTGGTTTTGTTTGGAAAAAAATTGAAAAGAGGGATTGTGAAGGTAGAAGAAGGAATATCGTGAGGGAGGAAGAGATAATTTGGGATCAGTAATTTTTCTCTTTGTTTTATTGTTATTTATACTATTTCTATTATTATTATTTTATTTTTAGTTTTTAGGATTAACTTTAACAAATATTGAAATGGGTCTTAGGCCCATATATTGATCTAATAGCGACATCGCTTATTAATTTAACACCACCTTTAATTTAGTCATTTCTTTTATTTATTTAATTTCTCTAAAAAAAATATCATATAAAAATACAAAAACTATTTAATTTCAACATATTACCGGTAATCGAATTTCACATCCTCGAGTAATTAGTGGTAGACTTAACGTTTACCAATTAGTTATTTAAAATACAAAATATATTTTACTGGATTATTTAGTTAAATCTATTTTCTAATTAATTCAAACATTTTTCTTAAATTAAGTTAATTCAATATTTTAAAAATATATTAAAAACCACGCAATTCACCAGTGGACGATACGTGGCCAATATTTGGCCACGTGATGAGGAAAACTTTATCAGATTCCCTCCGCCTCCTCTGTGACAAGCAACGCATGGCCAATATCTGGCCACGTGATGAGGAAACTATATCAGACTCCCCTGCTTTACGTCATAATATAGCTAACTAGTCAAAAAACATTTTTTCAATTAACATAACAAAAAACCCAAGATATTCTCGAAAAAGGATTAAGGAGAATTGCTATCGAAATTAACTATGAACTGCGTCTACGATCACTTTTATACAAAACCCAGACAAGGTTCAAGGATAAATTCGAAATCAATTATACACAATCCTATAAAAAACACCAACCCACTACGAACTACGAATTGGGACTTTGATTCCTCCTAAGAGGATACGTAGGCATACGACTAAAATCTTGGTGAGTTCCCCTAATAACAAACTAAAACCATATTCCCTAAAGGTCGCGTTTTTAAACCTAGTATCCTTGTGAACAAGGTATATGAGGGGTGCCTAACACCTTCCATTTGTCTAGAACTGAGTCCAAAAGACCTAGAATCTCTAACATTTTAAGGTTATCCTTTATATTCCCTTCCTTAGGATAAAAATTAAGGGTGGAGACTCTCAAATTTAAAAACCAGTTACAACACACGTCCTTACCATATGCCCTCATTGTACGTCTCTTTGATCTCCATCAAAAGATCTTAAAACGCACGTCCATCATAAGCGTGTGTGCCTTCTCGTACGAGGACCAAACAGACCTCCCAAGTGTTTGTGATTTTGGGCCTAGCACATTGTGTAACCCCCCCCCCCCTCATTTTTACTACTAAGTTAGAAACTGTACCCCTCATGCGCTACTGGGCCTAGTTCAATATCTAAACTTGGGCCCTTGCTAAACCAAACCCCCTAATTTTGTTGCGTAGTACAGATTAACACCCCCCCCCCCCCCCCTTTGTGATCTGGGCCTAAATCCAATATATAGATTTAGGCCCTGTTACCTGCATCCCCCTGAATTACTCAGCCCAAATAAAATACACTCCCCTGCGTTTTTAATGATTTTTATTTCTTTTTTATATTTTATATTTTCATTTATTTATTTTATTTATTACTATTAATATTTTAACTATTTAATATATTTTTTAATATTAAATTTAAAATTATTTTTTCTCACTAACTCATTATTAGTTAATTTTAAATTGCATTAAAATTATTTTCCTCGTGCATTAAAAATATTTTTATTTTTTTAATATATTTAAGAAATATCTAACCAAAAAATTACTAACAATTTTTCACCAATATAATTTAAAATCCAAGATATCGTTTTCAAAAAGGATAATGGAGATATTTCTCAGTAACTACAAACTTCGTCTAACACACTACTATTTTCAAACCCAGCTTTGTTCAAGGATTAATTCGAAATATTTTTGTAATCCATAAAAAACACCAACCAACTGCGAACTACGAAATTGAGACTCTAAATCCTCATAAGAGGATACGTAGACATACGACTAAAATCGTGGCGAGTTCCCCTAATAAAAATTAAAACCCTATTTTCTAAAGATTGCAATTCTAAACCCTAGTATCCTCGTCTAAAATGAGTCAACAAATTAGAATCTTTGTCAAATTAGGGTTATCCTTTATACTCCCTTCCTAAATATAAAAATTAAGGGTGGCGACTCTTATTTTAAAAACTGGTTATAACAGTCGGTGACTCTGCCGAGGACTCAACCCTAGAGTTTTAGAAGCCTTCCTCTTAGGTTTAGCGTTTTTGTTTGGATTTTTTGTGTTTTCTATTTTTTCTCTATTTATTTATTATTTATTATTATTATTATATTTTATCTTTTATCATTTGTTGGTGGGATTTTATTTCAAAAAAATTATTTTCAAAAAACCTTAGAAAGAAGGTTCGTCTATTGGCCAAGGGGATACATCATCCATATGAGTTTTTGTGACGACTTCACCTAGAGTCGTTGGAATTCCAAAAAAGAAATATGTCTCAAGAGATATCCTCTTGAGGGGTAGAATTTTGGAATGAAACCTATGACTTTTTGTAGAAACCCTAAACTAAAATCTCTGGTGAGACCTTTCACGACCTTAAAGACGAAAGTTTCAGTCTTCAAAGAGGATCCACTTAAGGGAGGCCCTTGTTCCTTTCTCTCTAGTGTTATCCATGATACCCTTAAGGAAACTACCTTATGGGAAGGGTAGAATATTTGTAGGCCAAAACTAGAAGTCTACCATCTAAGGATACCTTTCATCAAATCTCGTCACTAAGCCACACAATCAATCATGCATTCATACATCTTGCATTTCACATATTCGTTATTCTCCATTCTTTTTTGTTTGTCTTATTTAAAGGATTAAAAAATATATATAATCAAGGTTTTTGGTGAAGTATCCTAAAAATGAATGTCAAAGGGAAACAACTTGTCCGTGTTAATGTCGTCAAGCCAGGTATGACAAAGATCAAGACTATCAAAGGGAAACTGTCTAAAAGAGCTTTGAAGATGTTTACTCGCCGTTATGGGGATACCATTGAGTTGACAAAAGTGGATGTACAATTAGATGCTATTTATTCTTTGGTTAAGTTCTAAGATCCTCCATTTAGGTGCTTTACCTTCCAAGACTTTCAACTAGTTCCAACTTTAGAAGAATTTGATAGACTCTTGAATTTCTCTAAGGAAAAAGCTTATGTGGGAATTGGGAAGACTATTGACATTAAAGACTTAGAAAATGGATCAGACAGAACAAATGCAGATCTTTGTTAATGGTATTAGAGTAAATACTAAACAGTTGATTGATACAACACCTTGTGGCTTAGCTAATTTTTCAACAGCCACTGGTATTAAAAAGATAATTGAAGCAATTTCTGCAAACTATCATTTGGAGTTGTATGATAGGTGTGCAAGCAAATCGAAAGAGGTTATTGATTTGAAGTTGGAAACCAACAAGATCGGAATAGAAGATATAGTAGTTGTAGAAGTGGAGAAAAAACTTAAGACACTGAATATAGGTACCCAACAAGTAGCTCAAACTTAACTTGTTCAAACAGTTAGTTGTGAAATTTGTAGTGGACCTCATTATAGTGTGTATTGTTTCGCAACCCCGCAATAAATGGAAGAAATAAATTTATTGAAGCAGAATAATCCTTATTTAAACACCTATAATCTAGAGTGGAAGAATCATCCACGTTTCTCCTAGAAAGATCAGAAAGGAAATGTTCAACAACAGAGTCAAAATCAATATCAGAATCATTTTCAACAACCACGGCAGCAACAAGCTCCAAAGAAGGCAAATTGGGAAATAGCCATTAAAAATATGGAAGCTCATAATATTCAATTCTAAGAAGAGATAGAAATAATCATATAAACACCACAACTTCTATAAAAAATCTTGAAGTTCATATGGGTCAAATAGCATAACAACTAGTCGGTTCCCAAGCATCAGGTACACTACCTAGTGGAACTATAACAAATCCGAGAGAGCATAATAATGTGAGTGATGTGGTAACCAGAAGTGATAAGTCTACTGAAAGTTCTGAAGAGAAAATAGTGGAAGAAGACGGGTTGTTGGAAGTGAAGTTAGAAATTAAGGAACATCGGAAAGAGAAGAAGGATGTTGTTATTTCACCAGTGGTAAAGAAGGATAAGCAAAAATACCCAAAACCAATTATCAGACTTGCTTATCCTCCAAGACAAAAGAAGAAATACCAACATGAGAAGAATTTTGAGAAGTTTTTGGAGATGTTTAAAAATATTGAAATAAACATCCCATTTTCAGAGGCACTTGAGAAAATGCCCATATATGTTATATTCATGAAAGACATCATATCAAAGAAACACACCACAAATATCAAACCAATCATTTTGACTGAAACATGTAGTGTAATTCTTTAAGGTACGAAAGTTCCTATGAAAAATAAAGACAAGGGCTCTGTTACTATTCTGTGCACTATTGGGGATAGAAACTTCAAGAAGGCTTTGATTGACTTGGGACTCAGTGTAAGTGTCATGCCTTTGTCCATTTACAAAAAATTGGGTATTGATATGATTCAAGATACTAGGATGACACTCCAATTTGTTGATCACTCAATTAAACGACCATATAGAGTGGTAGAATATGTTATGGTAAAGATAGAAAAAAAATTTCTCAATTGACTTTGAGATTCTTGAAATGCCTGAAGATAAAGAGATTCCTCTCATTTTAGGCATATCATTTTTGGAAACTAGACGGTGTATGATAGACATAGGGGAAGGAACAATGACTCTCAAAGTCTATGATGAAGAATTCAAAATTGATGTTTGAAACATTATGAAGTACAAAGATGATGTTGGTACACGCCATACTATAAAGGTAACTGATCAAGTGATTGCTCAAGATATTTTGATGAACACACCACAAATACCTTTGGAACGGGTTTTGAGCCTGTCAATTTTTGAAAGTGACGAAGAAAAGGATGAGAAAGAGACAGAAGTGCTAGCAATGGTGGAAGCACAACCTCAGTGGATCAGATCTAACCACACCGGTGGGAAGATTTAAGAACACTACAATCATTAGAAGAAAAGTAAGAGTCGAAAAAAGGGACAGAGTTGAAACAGCTACCTGAGAATCAAAAATATATTTTCCTTGATACGAAAAAAAATTCTTAGCCATTATAAATTATAGTCTCAAAAGTTTACAAGAGGAAAAACTCATTCAAGTACTCAAGAAATACAAGAGTGTTATTGGATGGGAAATTGAAGATTTGAAAGGTATTAGCCGGACAGTTTTCATGCTCAAGATATTGATGGAAGATAATCACAAGTCGGTGGTTCAACCGTATCGAAGACTTAATCCATCCATGAAAGAAGTTGTTCACAAATAAGTTATGAAGTTGTTGGATGCGATTCTTATTTACCCTATATCTGATAGCTCATGGGTGAGTTTCGTGCATGTGTACCAAAGAAGGGAGGAACTACCATAATCATGAATGAAAAAAATGAGTTGATTCCGACAAGAACTGTCATAGGTTGGAGAGTGTGCATTGACTATAGAAGGTTGAACACTGCAACAAGAAAATACCTCTTTCCTTTACCTTTCATTGGTAAAATGTTGGAAAGGTTGACTGGTCACGATTACTATTGCTTCCTTGATGGATATTCGGGGTATAATCAGATTGCAGTAGACCATGAAGATCAAGAAAAATGAATTCACATGCCTATATGGTATATTTTTCTACAGAAGAATTACATTTTGGTTGTGTAATGCACCAGCTACATTTCAGAGGTGTATGACGTCCATTTTCATTGACATGCTTGAGAAGCACATGGAAGTGTTCATGAACTATTTTTATGTATTTGGATTTTCTTTTGATAAGTATTTAACTAACTTGTCTCTTGTTTTAGAAAGACACCAGTAAATCAACTTGATTCTCAATTGAGAGAAATGCCATTTCATGGTACGATAAGGTATAGTCCTAGGTCATAAAATCTCCCATATGGGAATAGAAATTGACAAAGCAAAAGTGGAGGTAATAGAAAATCTTCCACCTCTTGTGAATGAGAAAGGTACCAGAAGTTTCTTGGGACATGCGGGTTTCTACCGCAGGTTCATAAGAGATTTTTCCAAAATATCCAAATCGATGACTAGTTTGCTTGTGAAAGGCAAGCATTTCATTTTTGACAAAGAGTGTGGCGATGCATTTGACACTTTGAAGAGTAAGTTGGTCTCTGTACCAACAGTAATTGCCCCAAATTGATCTCTCCCTTATGAAATAATGTGTGATGCAAGTGACATTGCAGTAGGAGCAGTGTTAGGAAAGAGAATAGAAAAGCTCTTACATATGATTTATTATGCTAGTCATGTGTTGAATCATGCACAGATGAATTATGCAACCACAAAAAAAGAGTTTCTAGTAATTGTTTATGCTTTTAACAAGTTCAGGTCTTACCCGTTAGGATCTTAAGTGATTTTTTATACTGACCATGCTGCTTTGAAGTATCTTTTGTCCAAACAAGAATCATGCTACTTGATCATTTGGAAATATTGAATTCATAGCACATTTGAATGAGTACTTCACCATAATGAATCCAAATCACCTTGCAAGTAACAAGTAATTGAATAGGAAATAATACTTCGATCACAAAGAATTCACAACCTCATCTTTTGTGCCATGATTCATACTTGTACCTCAATCAACAAGCTATCTTACCTTGACAAATTACTTCTTCAATTTATGATCTTAAAACAAAACTAATGCCTTAAAAGAATCTTCTAAACCTCTTAAAAGATATTGACTTATGGAGCAAGTAATTAGGAGAAACCCTTAGATGGTGATGAACTTGCAATAAAGAATAATGCTCAATGTATCCTTGAGGAGAAAATCTAGCACAATGAACCTCTATTGAAGAATCATTACCAAGATTATACAATATGAGTAGGGAACCCTAATTATTTCGTTTTTTAATGCACGCTGATGAAGAAGTGGCTTAAGATGTTAAGAGGAACCAACTCCCTAGCTCATAGCATGACCAGTTGAGAATATGATGAAACCTTAAGCACAACAAGTAAAAACCCTTAATGCTCTTAATATTTGAAGTATCTTGATGAAGATGACTTTGCAGCTTGATGAACCTTACCAAGAAAGATGTTCATGATGCTTATGATTAGCTAACAATTCAAAAGTTATGAATGAACTAGTTGAATCAACTTGGGTGAAGTAGAGACTTTAACCCATGGAGGAAACCCTAATGCCAAGAGTCTTTTGATCCCATGCCGTAGGAGCTCATGCAAATGAATGATTGGTGATGCAAATGCATATGATATTTTGAATAAAATCTTTTAGGGGTAAACATTGAAGTATGACACTGACATTTCTTATATCTTAAGATTGTTGTGCATGGCTACAAGTAGACCTAGAATAGAGCATTGATACATTATTATAGATTATTGAGGTAACTTAAAAGAACCATGAACCTTATATTACATTCTCAAAAGTTTATTGTATTCCTTGAGGGCTGTTATGATGATGATTAGAATACCTTATCGAGTCACATTATTGGATTTAGAAGAAGTGAAAGAAATGAATGAGAAGAAGTAGAGCCACATAGAAATAAGAGAACAAGAGTTGATAAAGACTATGGACCCAATTTTGGCATTTGCACCATAAATGAAGATCCAACAAACCTTCAAAAAGTTATGTTTTCACTCATCGCTAACTTATGGCATAAGGCCATATATGATAATATGGATTCTATATTAACAAGTTCAGGTACTTAGTAAACTTTCCTCCAAGATGCAAAGCTATAGGTTGTAAATTGATACTAACGAAGAACTCAAATCATATAGAAGTGTTTAGAAGTACAAGGCTCTCCTTAAAGCCAAGAATTTTAGACATGGAGATAATGTAGATTTCTTTAACACTTTTTGACATGTTACAAGAATAAAATCTTTTAGAGTACTCATTTCACTTGCATCAATTATAACTTAGATGTACACAAAATTGACATTAAAATTGATTGTTTTATTGTTATTCAGAGAATATATATATATATATATATATATATATATATATATATATATATATATATATATATATATATATATATATATATATATATATATATATATATATATATATATATATATATATATATATATATATGGAACAACCTAAAGGATTCATGATTCATGAACAATAGACTAAAGTCTATAAGTTAGTTAAATTTTGGTATGATTTAAAATAAGGTCCTAAATAATGGAATAAAATGGTTGAGAATCTAATTATCTCGAATGAGTTAAAGGTGAATGAAAGTAACAAATTAATTTACCATAAACTGGAAAATGGAATTTTCACTATCATATATCTATATGTAGACGGATCTCTAATATTTGGTTGAAACATTCTTATCGTAAATAATGTCATATCTTTGGTGTGTAGCAAATTCGATATAAAAAACCTCAAGTAAGTGAGTGTAATCCTTGTATTAAGATTACTAGGTCGAGATAAAGAAGTTTCTTTGGATTCTCACTGCATTAAAAAGATCTTAAAGAAATATAAATAATTTTAAACATCACTAATACAAATAAAACTTTTTATGACGAATTTTTCACCTCAAACATGCTAAAAACCGAGTATATGTCCTAGAAGTGCCATGTTTGACTTTTTTAGAAAATAAACAATCATTTCTCTCGGTTTTCTCAAAAACCAATGTAATATAGCTATAAGTGAGTGTCATGTTTTATCCATAAACATTATAAATCTATTCCCTCGATTTTTTTTGGAAAAATGAGGGAATATAGCTATAAGGGTCTCGTTTTGAATCCCCGTTAATGTATTAAATTTTTTTTCCAATAATTTCTCACTTGATGTCTTTCTAGATTCTCAAAATATTTTCTTTAGTCAATTTTTTCCATGTTTTTATTTGTTAATTAATAATTCTCAAAATCTTTGTTATCAAAAAACAAGAATAGACAATAATAGAAAAGGAAATATTTCATTAATAATAAAAAACAGAGAACAACAGATAACTATTTCATATATTCAACCTTTTTTTATCAATAACAAGTATAGGTCCTAGGAGTTTCATGTTTGACTTTTTTAGAAAATAAACAACCTTTTCTCTTGGTTTTCTCCAAAACCAAAGTAACATAGCTATAATTGAGCGTAATGTTTTATCCATAAAAAGTTATAAACCTATTCCTTCGGTTTTTTGGAAAACTGAGGGAATATAGCTAAAAGGGGTCTCGCTTCAAATCCTCGTTATTGCATTTAATGTTTTTTTCAACAATTTCTCACATGGCGTCTTCTCGGATTCTCAAAATCTTTTTAGTTAAGTTTTTTCCATGTTTTTCTTTGTTAATTAGTAATTCTAAAAAAAAATTTATCAAAAAACAAGAATAGACAATAATAGAAAAGGAAATATTTCATTGATAATAAAAAAATAGAATAACAAATAACTATTCAATATATATTCCAACTTTTGACTCCACTCAACTTCAACATTATATAAACTATATTTAAATGAGAGAAAAGTTCAGAAATAACTCTTTCATATGGTATGAGGAAAGTCATTTCCTTCCGAGAGATGATTATCATTTCCTTTAAGAAGTTTAAAATGGTAATAGTAAGATTAACTCTAGCATTGCAGGTAAGGAATAACAAGAGATGTTTGCCACTCCAAGTAAGCGCTTCTAGTTATTTCTCTCTTGGATGGAGCTTTGACACTAAAATTTGATACAAAACTTTTGCAATTGGGAGTAGAGTAGCAGGACAGGTGGACTTATCTTTATTGGCATAAATTAGGTGAAGCTGGGTTGAGTATACATTGTTGAATCTATAATGTTCAACACAACTACCTGTCTCTTCAAAATTTATTGTCTTGGCAATAAGTGATGGAGTAATGGTGATATGAGAGACTTTGACATAGGAATTGATTGACTTAGAATCATGACCAGTTGGTACAACAAAGGCATTTAACCAGAACTCTTTAATGAGAATAGTGTAAACGGGGTCATGAAAAATGTCAAAGTAACCGTTCAACTTTTGTTTGGATAAAGTTTTCCTTAGATAAAAACATTTGTCTTTCAAATCATCGCAATTAATAAACTTTTTATTGATAACGAACAAGAGATTTTCATCTATTTTTTGAATAAAATAAAAGATTTTGAAACTAGGTTTGAAGACACAAAGAGTTGTAAATGAGACATTAAAAATAACAATAGTGTTTAAATATCTCAAAGCCTCCTTGAAAATTCAAAATATATGTTACGTTTTGAATATGGATGATCATTGCTATTCTAATGATATTAATCCAATTATTGCCACATTTTAGAAATAAAATCACATTTTACCTCAGATTTTCTTGTAATCGATGGGGGGGTGATTCAAGAACCTTTGTTTCTATTATATTTCCAACTCCTTAAACAAATTTGACCCTAATCCTAAGTCGTACGCGTCATTATTTGGGATGGATTGCAAGATAATGAAATATTGTAACTTAAGAAGCTTGAAAAAGTTCTCTATGATGGATTGCAAGTGAAGAAAAACATTTTCAAATATTTAAAATAGATAACTCCTTTAGAATTTGGGCGCATGCAATCCATATAACATTTTCCAATGTTTGGAACAGAGATCTCATTACAGCAAAGATTTATTGTTCTCCAAGAATATGGATTTGTTGTAATATTGTGTTTTAATATTTTGTGTA